GCTGCGCCACCAGGGGGGCCCTTCCCTTTTTTTTAAAAATTGAAAATAAGGCAGATAAAAACTTAAGTACTGGAATGTATTTCTGTTGGCTTTGGAAGTGTTAAAAGACAACAAAACTCTCAAGGGCAGACAAAAGAAGAAATAAGAGAAACAAAGGCCCATACATAACCTACGAGGTGGCCAGTGAGTCTTTGCACTGCGGAGGAGTCACTCAGTCACACTGCTGGATGAAGCACAACACAGTCCCTGGAAGCCATCTGTCCTCACAACACCACAGCCCAGCAAACTGGACGTTTAGCCTGACCATACCGTCCAACAGAGAGAGGTACAGCTACGGCTGGTTGCAACTCTGACTCCAGAGGGGCCGAGCAGGTGAATATGCTAAAAGCTGATGTTTCTCCCTGGAATTCTCTTTCAACCAGGGGGTAACATTCATCAAAATTCTCTCCTGTGTTTTTCCAAATGTACACATCCTTGCCTCAATCCTGAAGGGCCTTCCTACACAGATTTTTAGAAGAACCCAGTGGTTCTGTTTACCACCCTGGACTAAACGAAGGTTTCTGAACATGAATACACCCTTTCTGAGATGGGGGTGTCAGGAATAAAAGTCTATAGCCACTTGGAGCTGAGTGTCCTAAAACCTGGGATTTGGAATTTGGGAATTTTCCTTCCTCACATTAATAACTGATCGTTGGGGAGAGTCATGCGTGGCCCACATTATCAGTTACTGCATTTGGGCTAGTTAAAATTGGGACCTCAGGGAAACTGTGACCAGGGACAGGCCAAGGATTTACGAGTACTGAGCATCAACTCCACACCAGGGCTACTGTGAATAGAAGAGCCCACGAGTGCAGCAACCCCCAGGAAGACACCGGGAAGAATAAGCTGCACGACAGAGCCAGGAGAGCTGTGAACATGCTAACCTGCTCATCTGAGGCAAGAAAAACATGGAAGCAAGTGCCACAGAGGAGAAGACAGGGGGCATCAGTGCACTCCAGTGAAGAGACTTCTGGACAGACGAGCTTTCAGAAGCTGATACTAGAGGAACAGAAACATCTACACTCACACACTTTAAAAAGAACAACAACACAGTTAGGGTCCTTATCTGTGACCCAGCCACTCTCCAATGGATTCCCAGGGGTAGCCTCAGTGGTGACACTGCTGAACCATGGTAGGTGCACAAGCGCCTTTGGAACCGAACTGGTAACACTTCCGGGAAGGAATGTGACGAACTTCGCTGCACCGGGGTTCTCATTTCTGCTGCCATCATCCAGCCGTGTGACCTTGGGCAAGTTACCACTTCTGTTTAAGGTAAAGACTAAATGTGACAATTCAAGGAAGTACACTTCTGCCCCCTTCTATGCCCTTTGTCCTCTTTTGTTTCTCAGTCATAAAAACACCGCACCAGCTGCTGGTGCTGGTCAGAGCAGCAAGCTGATGCAGGGAGTTGAGACACAGCCGTACGAGACAATGAGTGAGGATGTAATTTACCTGCTTTTGTTTCCTAAAGGCAGAATAGCTTTTTCAGACTCCACCATCCATGTGGGAGAATGATTTGACAACCTCTCCAAAGATGGATGCTGCACACCTAATCTAAGACATGGAAAAATGACCCACTTATAATCAAACGTCTGCTTTGGGGCTTTTTTTTTTTTCTTCCTCCTCAAATATAAGCTCATTTCTGCACATGTGCTTATACCAAGGACTGATTAATTTAACATCAAGTCCATTTACTGACTTTGTTATTCCTAAAATGTCTCTTAAATTTTCTTTTCCTCTTAGCAAGCAATTAATTTGTTGGGTAAGATTTTAAATAGCTACACCTTCAGCTTTAAATTCTGCTGTGTAGACTCTGGCAGTTGGTTCTATAGTGAATAATCAGCCTTTATTTCCACTAAAATAGAGAAATTGGGAACTCACTAGGTATTAGTCTTAGCATTACACACACACACACACACATACACAAATCTTCATTGACTTACTCTCATAAGAATGATGTATAATTAACTTTCAAAGTTTAGACTGTTCTGGAAGCACCATGAAGCAATTTATGCCCTGTCGTTCATCATACCCAAGAAGTTCTCAGACAAATAGGTGGTTATATACAATGGCTGTCTATACCATATGGTCTCCACTGAGAGGTTGCTGCTGTAAATATGAATGCTTGAAAACTATATTAAAAAAAAATAGCACTACACCAAGACACTAGGGCTCCTGGATATGAGAAAACAGATTCCACTGGGTTTTCAAGAGGCCTAAATAAATTTTTCCACAGATGAGACAGCAAGTGGAGGGAGCTCAGACTTAGCCTGCCACACCAGCTCTTGCCCCTGCAGTGCGCGGAGTTGTCTTAAAGACAGCTTCCTAAGAAGTTGATGAATGGCACACTTAGTTCTGTCACAAATAATTAAAAGCAAATGTCACCACCTGTCATTTATCATTTAAAAAAGCATGTTAGGAATTGTGTTATCAATTTCTCTTGGGTTGAATTTTTATAAAAGTTCTGTTTTTTTTTTAAATGAAGATTTACTTATTTTCATACATACAGAACTGGGGTACAGGAAAGGGTGCAGGGGGTGAGCGGATTCATCAGAGACAGAGTGGAGAGCAGAACAGGCAGATGTATTGAAATACACTACTGAGGGGAGCAGCAGGCAGGTCAGGAGAGGTCTGCTGTGCCATGTGGGTCACCTCCTTGACCGGGGATTGAACTGGTACTGCAGTAGCTACGGGTCGCTTCATAGTGCTGTGCTTTAACCCACTGCACCACCAAGGAAGGGCCCAGTTCTGGGGTTTCTAACTGGAGTTTCGAAAGGAGATGGTATTATCACTTAATTTTCCTTCAAGTCTTTAGCCTAAGAAGAGTGTTGTGAAAGGCTGGGTGCTGAATCGGCAGAGGAGACTTCAATTTTTCTTCTTCATCTTTCTATCATTCAACTATTGTCACTCAAACACACTTCACTGTTATACTGACACTGCTAGAAGCTGATAGCTATCCCTGCAGGGAGACTACTGAGTAATCCAGAGTTGGGGATTGGTGGGAGTGGGAGTTCTCCAATGTGGTCTAAGGAACAGTAAACCAAAAAGTGACATTGCAAGATGGAAGTAAAATATCGGTTAGGGAAATGAATATTAAAGAAGCTTCCAGAGAAGATTCTAAGAGGTCAGTCTACTGGGTGGGAAATAGAGGGAAGCCCTAGTCCTAGGGCTTAGGCAAGCCAGTTAAATCTATGATCTTTGGAGGTAAGGAATGTGGGTTCCTCTCACCTATGCTCTAGGAAAGGCTCCCTCACGCCCTCTCTCTGTTTCTAGCACAAAACTCCTCTAGTCTTCACTCTGACATGGTGACATCATTATATTTTAGAGAAGGCATACTTTTTCTATCCAAATGCAAGTTAAAACACAAATGTTTTATGTCATGTGCTCTAGTTAGAAAGTTTTAGGAGAAACT